TGCCCTCAAGACATGGCTTTTCCATCAAGCGGGATTGGCCTAGGGGGGGGATTGTATAGGGATTTTAATAGGGATTTTATAACTTTTCTAAAAATAACAGGCTTATTTAATATATATTTTAATTGTTTTTAGATATTTATTGTATAGTTCCGTTTTTATTGCCTGTAAGCTGCCCTGAGTCCTTCGGGAGAAGGGCGGGATATAAATTAAAGTAATAAATAAATAAATAAATAAATAAGTCCACTTCTTCAGGTGACTAACATTGAGAAATACACTTTGTGGGTCTCATTTTTGTTTTACTGATTGCATGTGGCTTGGAGGAAAAGCTGTGACTTTATAGATAGGTCTAATCTGGGTCAGGGTGCATAACCTGGTATCTTTCAGTATTTTTCAACTTCATTTCAACCCAAAGGCAGCCATGTTTGCTGAGGCTTGAGGCTTCTAGTTCCTTATCGGAAAGACATGTCTACCTTATTTCCATTCCTGATAGTGGGAAATAATTACCACTTACAGAAAATAGTGATAAAGACTACATGCTTTATGTTAAAAATGAGAAATTGATGGTTCTGATATTTTCATCACTTCAAAATTAGATAACATATTTTAAGGTGAAATGTATGCCTTATATACAATAACGGTGGAGTTATTGAATGGCAGCAGCACAGGTTTTTGTGGTAGCGAAGGTAAAAACAGAATCTACCACATTCCATACCCTCCTTTTGCTGTAGCCATACGATTTTGTTTACATTTTCTTTAAAAGACTATGTTACAAGACATGACATGTACGCGTACACGTTGCACTACGCACAATGCTCGTATACACGCGGGAGCAAAAATTAACGTGGAGATGGTCGGTCCTTTGAAAGTAAGGAGAGAGAGAGGAGATACGGTTCTTTTCTCTACAGAAACTTTCCAAAAGGATCGAGCCTTTCTCCCTCTCTCTCCTTCCCCCACCCCGTTTGCAACGTGTTGCAATCCCGTTTAGTACCGTCCCGGTTGCCAAACCGCTGAAAGTTTGCCTCCACTTTGGAAGTCTTAAAAGAAAGCTTTCCTCCCTCACACAACCCCCCTCCGCCTCTTTTCCCTTCCGCCCACAACTGGCTGGGCAGCCAGTGGTGTTCGTGACGCAGCGTCTGAATTCTTAGAAGGCAGGGAGGGGCTTCGGGGGGGGGTTGTCTTTTTTCTCCCATCTCCCCGTCTTTCTCTTCCATCACCTTCCTAACGGGAGGAGGGTTTGGAGGTGGAAAGCTACTGCGTCCAGACAGAACGGCGACGGGAACCGCAGGATTCAAGAGGAAAAAGAGGAGAGAGGATCCACCGCGCCTCATCGAGCTGTCTTCCCCTCACCTCGTCCGAGATGAAGCTTTCTAGACCCCCCTCTTCGACGCGGCCTCGCCTCCTAAGTTGCACCCTGGGCATCCTCTTCATGCTTGAGGTCGGACTCTATGCTCTTCCTTCAGGTATACTCCCTCCCCCCCTCCCCCTTCCAAACTTGCGGTGTGTTGAGATGGGTGTGGGTTGGGGAGAGGGCGATTTTAGCACATCCTGTATTTCTTTTTCAAAAAAAGGAGTAGGATCCTGAGTCCTCACTGATTTAGCAAATTTCCCCACCATTCCCTCTCCCTTTTTTGTTGTAGGGCATTTGGGGGTGTGTGACTGCGTTTGGTAAAGGAAGGAGAGACCTGAATGAAACCAGATGTGGCTTGGAATGGCAAAGGGAGGGGACTGGTTGGCCCGATGAACAGGCTGTTTTTTTAAACTTGCTGCTCTTGCCCCTCTCCAACAACAACACCAGCAACAAAAGCCATCTATAATTGGAAGCGTTACTTTCCAGAATGTCCCAGTGGCATTTGAACAAATTCTCTCGGAAGGGAAATTGGCACATAAAACTGCAATCCCAATTCTCAGAGTTAGAATTGGGGATTTCACTCTATAACAACTGCAGTTCAGCTCTGCTACTCTCAACGTGTTCAGACATAATAAAACCCACATACAATTACATCACTTTATGCCAGTCAACCTTTGCAGAAAATGCAAGAGTTTATTTTATTTACTAGATTTTTACCCTACCTTTATTACTTTTATGTAACTCAAGACAGGAAACATTACACATTACTTCCTCATCCTATTTCCCCCATAGTAACAACCTTGTAGACAGGTTGGACTGAGAAGAAACTATTAGCCAGCTTTCATGCCTGAGGGAGAGCTAAAACTCACACTACACCAAAGTAGTTTTCCCCAAAACAAAGAATTATCCAAACACACAAAACGTTAGACATTTGTGTTGGAGAGGAAGGTGGATGAGAGACATGGATTCCAAGATTTGTATTAAATGCTTAATGTCTGTTTTATTCTTGTCCCCTCTCCCCTTTATTTTTTCTTGCCAAATTTAATAGACCAATCCATAGACATCTCAATGGCATTTTTTTTAAATTGCTTTTGCTCTCATTCCAGCCTATTTCCTGATCAATAAACCAATGAAAACAACAGCACTGCATTGTGATGTATATCTAAAATTAGCCATGATCTTGTTTGTGGCAAAGAATTGAAATAATAACAGGTTAACATATATTACAATTTAAAGGAGGAGATTCCATTTGCCGTATCTATTTAGACGTGCCTTTAGCACTTTTGAACAAATCTGACTTAAGTATATCTGTAGCCATGAATGCCGTAGGAATTACTCTCATCCAGTCAGAAATTGCTCTATTTGAGTGCCAAAGTTATAGAAAAACCAAGTTGTAACTAAATAATTATTCTGATTGAAACAGATAAGAAAAATATCAATATAGGTAGTCCTCAGTTAAGAAAGCAATTAGGACTGGATTTTCTGTACGATGCAGTCATAAAGCACAACATCACCTGATTACATTGCTTAGCAACAGGCAGATGTAGCCCCAGATGCTGATGTAGCCCCAGGAGTGTGCAGGCTGTTAAGTGGGAAGAGATGTGAGAAACTGGCAAGGAAGGTCATAGGTGATAATCATGGTGCCCTGGGACATGATCATCCAAATTGCGATCATGTGACTGCTGCAATGGCTGGAACCTCAAGGACCAATCGTAAGTACCACTTGCTCAGGGCCATGATAAGTTTAAATGGTCACTGAATGAATGATAATAGCACGAGGACTACTTGTATTATTGCAATTTTTTCCTTATCCCATTTTCTTGTGAGCTTTCAAGATTCTATTCAATCCTAGAAATTACTTACATTTTCCTTTGTGATGAATGGGAACAAAGACCTGCTTTCATAGCAATTAAAATAATATTCAGGTTTCCCTTTACACTACAGCACAAAACAAGGGTGATCAAGCTGGGGCCTTCAGATGTTGCTGAACTCCTACTGACTAGCACCTCTGGTCATTGATCATGCTGGCTAGATTAAATTTTCTTCAGAGAACCAAAATATATATCCCTTTCCCCCTTACTCCACTTTTCTTTGAGTAGCAATTTTTTGTTGTTGTTCCAATTGTCAATCCCTATTCTGTTTCTCTTGAATCTTTTGAATGTTCTTGTCCTGTTTCTGAGTGTGCACACGTTATAGGTAAAGTGATGGTTGGTCTTCTTAGTTGGTTTTCCTTTCAGCATATCACCACTCTGTGGAGAAATATCTACCGGGGAGGGCACTGAAGAAAGTCAAAATAGAAAGGACAGAGGAGGTGACAGATATGATTGGAACTCAAGAAACAAAATATCAATGGAGAGGGAAATACTGGGAGAGAAATAGCCGAAGTGGAAGTTGGCTAGTGACCAGAGAGCCGGGTATATACTGTATGCATATATCTCTCAGTGCTTCTCAAACACAACATTTTTGATAACATTTGTTATTGGTTATCTGCCTTTGTTTCCAAAGTAATGTTTTGTGAAGCATTACACAATTTATACACTTAGAAGCTGTGTAACAAGAATAATACTTTTTTTTTTTTTTAAAGAAAATTTTATTAATTTTTATAATTGAACATTAAGTAATATGATGCATTTATAACACAAACATACACAAAAAAAACAATCCAATTCAATACATTATCAGAAACGCTCAGAGGTTCCCGACCTGCCTCCGCCCTCATCCACTTACCTTTCCTTCCTACCTCTAACCCACAACCTCTCCTCCTTCCTCCNTGCAAGCCGGGATACCAACCGAGCGCTTCCTCTTATCAATACAATTATAACATATGAATACATCACTTTTTGTTTCAATACTTCTAACCCCCTTCCCCCCCTGAGCTTCCCGGAATCAAATACAGGACTTAAAACAAATCTTTCCAAATCTAACTTACAATTTAACTAAACAGATATAATACTAACAATATATACCTACCGTACTTTAACTCTAATAAGGCAATTATTAATTAAAATTGATTAAAAACCAATATGACTACTCAAAAGCTATATATATTTTATATACATCTAATATAATCTATCCATTCAACATTTATTTTTTCCCCCTTACATTTTACACTTAAATTTTCCCTTTTTTTAATATCAGTACAATGAACAATAACGTAAGCAAGTCTCACTCACATATATATATATATTTATATAAATTTATATTTATATAAATATAAATTATTTATGAATTACTTTATTATTATTTATGAATTTATTTGCCACCCATCTCGTAGCAAATGGCTCTGGGCAGCTTCCAGCACAATAATAGCCTGGATTATTTAGTCATTGTGTGATTGTTCATATTTAGGGTTCAGAACTTTATAGTGCCCAAATAATATTAATATTAATATATATATTATCTTTGAGTTTGGTGCACCCTGTCGGCCCAAATATGGGAGAAAGGAATCTTTTGCCTGTATCAGCTCAAACTAGAGCTATCCACAGGCAGCATTCGCAACTGCGACATCATATGTGTTTTTTCAAAATTTGGATTGCTGACAAAGAATTAAGGGAGAACTGGAAGAATTATCTTTGAGTTTGGTGCACCCTGTCAGCCCAAATGGCTATTCCAGTTCTCCCTTAATTCTTTGTCAGCAATCCAAATTTTGAAAAAACACATATGATGTCGCAGTTGCGAATGCTGCCTGTGGATAGCTCTAGTTTGAGCTGATACAGGCAAAAGATTCCTTTCTCCCATATTTGGGCCGACAGGGTGCACCAAACTCAAAGATAATTCTTCTTCCCTGTCTCATAGCTGACAAAGTGAGAAAGAACCTGTGGCCTAGAGGTTAACACATCTGCCTAACATGCAGACAGCCCAGGTTCGAATCTCAGAAGGGTATGTCTGGTTGAAAAGAACTAAAAAGTTCGAAATGGCTATTCCAGTTCTCCCTTAATTCTTTGTCAGCAATCCAAATTTTGAAAACACACACACACACACACACACACACACACACACACACACACACACACACACACACACACATATATATCAACTCTTGGTAAAATCTGTGATCTCTCAGGGTCACAGTGTACAGTAACAGAAACAGACTTTGCTTTAACTCTGAATGTTCCACTGATAGCCATGGTCAGAGATATGCAATCATGGACTAGCCAGACTTCTTCCATAAATACCTATAAAACTTACCTATTCCATTTCAGACATTATGCAGAATGCAAAAAAAAAATAGACCAAAGAAATTAAAAGCATCAGCTAAGGAAACATACCTAAAACTAGTTTATACTAACATCCAGTCCCCTGAGACTTCAGGCCTAATAACAAAACCAGGTCATGAGGGACTTCTGGAAAATAAGAAGGGATGGAACTGACCTGTCCATAAGGCTTTATTAATTTATCTGTCTATTCTAGCTTTTTGCCATCTATGTATAATTTGAATTTGTTCAATCCATTTTCCTGGAAACACAACTGCTTGTTCTTTCATTTATTATTTCTCTTTCATTTATTATTTCTCAGTTCTTTCATTTATTATTTCTCATTATTACTTTTTGTTGCATCATGTAATCTGTCTTGAGATTCATTGCAAACTATTCAGTTACCTGCTATACAAGGTCATCTTCATAGAAAAAAGTCTGCATACACTTTTGTTCTCAAACAATATATTCCCGCTGTCATTCCATATACTTTGTCCACAAATATATAATTAAGGGGACATCATACATTATTGTGTTACTTCCTTCTTAAGATTGAACAACTTTATAAGCATGGTTTGTACTTTCATGTTTTATTTCCATTGTATGCCACTATGATTGTCTTCAGCAATCAACTTCACATTGCTGATTCCCTAATTCAATTCTACTGTTTTCATCATATGCTTTCTTTAAATCTACATTTAAATAAATGAATAATACATTTCTCTGTAATAATATATTACTATATATGTATCACATCTAGATTATTATTATGTGGATCTGCTATTGAAGTATTTTGCAAATTCAATTTATACAAAATCTGGCTGATTTATAAATTGTAGCTAGATATTAGAAACAGTTACAGTATTGCCAAAAATTATCTCTTAGCTATGATGGGTTTATGAGCCTATTCAAAGTCCAC